GAGGCACGCACCTGATCCTGGCCAAACTTGCGGAGGAAGGAGTAGGGCCAGGTGAGTAGGGGCTGGCGTGACTGCGGGTCCTTCAGCGCTAGGCTCTGGGGAAGGGCCGAGAGCACATAGTGCCCGTGCAGGCCGCAGCGAGCGGCTGCGTCCGTCTGGACCACCAGTACTGGGAATTCAGTCACTGCAGAAGCAAAGCAAGGCAGGAGTCAGCACCGCAGCACTGAGCCAGAGCCCACCTCGGCCCCATCTGCCACCCCTGCACGTACGGTCCTGCCAGGAAGAGTAGAGGGAGTTCTCCTCCATGGGGACAGCAGGGTTGGGCTGGGTCCTGGCACTGCTCTGCGCTGTCTGCTTTGCACCCTGGAACAGAGGGATGTGAGCATGGCCCCCAGACTGGGGGAGCACGAGCCCCCCAGCCTGCCCACTCACTCCAAAACCCCCTGGCTCACCTGAGCCAGGAGCAGAGCGAGGGGTCCTGGCTGTGCCAGACCCTGTGGTACCTGGAAGGCCAGCTGGCAGAGCTGAGTGATCCACTCATCCCGCTGCTCAGCTGCCAGCACGTAGCTCTTCTCCGTGGTGGTGAGGTAGAAGGCGGCGGTGGCTTTAGGGCAGCTCTCTGTGCCTGCAGGGCCCACAGAAACGCAGTCTGAGAGGCGGATCACCCGTCGGGCACACCGCCGTAGGGAGGTCTTCTCTAGTGCCGTGCCGTCATCCCGCACATCAAACTTCTCCATACGGGCCACACCGGAGGGACTGGCTGCGAAGAGCTGGGCTCGCATCTTCCTCCAGGACCTCTGGGGTGTGGGAAGGGCACAGGCAGGGGAAAAAAGGGGTCAGCAAGGAGCTGCTTGCTGCATCGTCACGGTGCTGCCCTCCATGCGGGGCCAGCAGTGCTTGGGAAGAGCTGTGCAGGGCAGGAAAGGGCACAGGGGGACCCTACTAACACCCCGCCAGGTGCTGCAGGAGGGCATGGAGAGCTGGGGCCAGCACAGACACCCAGGGCTGTGGGGCAGGGCAGTCCCAAAGTTAGGTCGAGGGGGGGCCTTGCCCTGAGCAAGCTCAGCACGGCTTGCTGGGTGAGTCATGCTCGCTCCCGGCTCGCCGAGCATCAGGTCCTGCTCTTTGTTCCCCACTGCAAGTGCTGGCCTGCCGTCACTGCAGCTGAGCTCCCGAGCTGTTCTCAGGACAGACCCTGATGCAAATTAAAGCCATTTTGAGCTGCTGAGGCTCCTGCTGACAGTCTCACATCTGCTAAGCACAGCCAGGCCCTGCAGCTCGCAGCCCGCTTCCTCCCAGGGGAGGCTCTGCAGCACCAGCACCTTCCCAGCCCGTCATGGGATAGAAGGGGCGCGTGCCTCCACACACATCAAAAGTGCAGCAGAGCCTCCGCCCTGCAGAAACCAGATGCAGCCAAGCACCCAAAATACCGACCACTGCCTGCCCGCCTGCCTCCTACGCCCAGGGCATCAGTCCCATGGATGCAGGGCCTGCCTGCTTTGGCTCCAGCACTTGGCTCTCACTGGCAGGAAGGTCAGAGTGTGATCATAGCCCGGCACATCCACCAAGCCCCCTGTGGGGGCACAACCATGCTGCCATGGCAGAGGGGATGCTGCTAAGGCAAGGCCAGCAGGACCTGCTTCACCAACACCCATCGCACAGCTCCCTAGAGCTGGCTCGACTCTGCGGGGATTCCCATCGTGTCACGCTGCCCGGAGTGCTGTGGGACTCAGTGCCCACCCTGAGGCAGCAGCCAAGCCACGAGGGGTACCCCACGGATGGCAGTGGCACCCCAGGACCAGGCTGATGGAGGGCTGGGCACAGAGCCACAGCCCTCACACTGCCCCGGTGCCCCGCTCCCACACACACGCTGGAGCTGCGCCTCATTAACACACGTTTATTGTTTCATTGCGAATCGCGCGGTGACCAAGCGAGAAGAGGGACCCTGTGCGCAGGGCAAGCCTGAGCAGGTGTCTGCACGGATGAGTCCCCTCGGCCGCAGGGAGAGCCCCGCTCTTGGGGCTGTGGAGTCCAGGGCCTCCCGGGGCAGCTCCAAGGGGTCTGGCTCCGGTTCCCCCTTTCCAGGCTGCCAAAGCCTGGCCCCAAGCCTGGTGTCAAGATAGATCAGGGCAAACCCTGTACCCAGCCCCAAATCCACCCTTTACCTTTCCAAATTTGCAGTGCTGCACATAGACGATCCCATCCTTCACCGGTTTCTCCATGGGCCCAGCGTCGCCCTGGCAGCCAGTGCAAGGATCGGGGACTAGGGCTGCCAGCAGTGGAGAAAATGTGACTGCTGCAGCCGAAGCAACTGCATGGGGCAGACTTCCTTCGCTAGCAACTTCCCCTTTTCGGTGTGTGCGATGAGTGGCAGAGGCTGGGCCACAGGAGGTGTCCGTCCGTCTGCCCTCCCCCTCACAGAGGGGCAGTGGGGCAGAACACATGCAGGCAGAGCACAGGAAACACCTAGGGGACCGCCCGATGGAGTGCGGCACGCTCTGCGTCACCCTGGCTGCATCAGAGCACGTTTGGGGGTAATGGGAACAGCCACCAGCTGAGGATCCACAAAACCAGGTAAGGGGCATGGTCCCGGAGGAATCGAAGGGCTTTGGAGGGGAGCAATGTAATACCCTGGCCACGCCACTGCAGGGGCCTGGTAGGGAAGGCAGGCAGCCAGCCAGCCACAGACTAGCCACCACACCCGGGACTTCCTCCTCCCCTTGGGCACTGCTACCTGCTTGCCCAACACACCGCTGATGAAGCAGGCTGTTGCAGCACAGCTCCACACATTTTCTCCCAGGGCAGAAGCTTTGCAGGCTGACCTGGTGACATCCCCAGTGGCCACAGCAGCGCAGGACAGGCCCCTGGGCTTTGGAAAGGTAAGGGCAGCTGGGGCACTGCCCTGGTTGAATGGGAACCCAGGCCCGCGCAGGGGGAGCGCTGGACAGCACGCTCCCCAGGCTAGAAGTCCATAGAGCTGTGGGCCAGGTAGTCCTTGCGGCCGATGTTGCTGACTTGCTTGGTCTGCATCGCCTCCAGCTTGGGGCAGTCGGTGATGCGATGGCCCAGGCCGCCGCAGGTAAGGGCAGCTGGGGCACTGCCCTGGTTGAATGGGAACCCAGGCCCGCGCAGGGGGAGCGCTGGACAGCACGCTCCCCAGGCTAGAAGTCCATAGAGCTGTGGGCCAGGTAGTCCTTGCGGCCGATGTTGCTGACTTGCTTGGTCTGCATCGCCTCCAGCTTGGGGCAGTCGGTGATGCGATGGCCCAGGCCGCCGCCGAAGGCGCTCACCTGCAACAGGAGGGACGAGGTCAGGGCAAGTTGTGCCATGCCAGGAGAGCATCCCAGAAGCAAAGGGGCTATGCCAGCGTCCCCCCCCCGCTGCCACAGCACGAGGCTGCCCACGCGGCCAGGCAACGACAGCCCCACAGCAGGGAGGAACCGCTCCAGGAGCCTGGAGTGACGGGAACTGGGGGTCCTGTCCGCAGCCCAGGTCTCTCAGCAGCCCTGCAGGAGGTCCCTGTGCCCATCTGGCGTCTCTCACCTCCGATATCCAGCATGGTCTCATCCCCGCAGTGCAGCACCTGGAGCACAGGCGGCACCTTCTGCTTTGCCTCCAGGAGGAGGGCCTTCAGGTCCATCAGCACCGACTCATCTGGAGGCAGAGACACGGGTCAGACGCAGCCTGAGCAGGGCTGGGGAATGCTGCCCCACACCACAATCTCCCCTCCACGGGCCACCATGACCTGTCCCTGCTTGCTTAGGATCACCCCCCTTGCCAAGGCAGAGGCAGCTCCATTGCCCAGCTGCCTCCTACAGCCGCAGCACCCCCGCGGGCAGCCCCCAGCCCCGTGCTGTTTCTCACCGCAGGCCTTGTTGATGAAGGTGGTGGCAATGCCAGTGTTGCCCGAACGGCCTGTACGCCCGATACGGTGAACTGTGGAGAAAGAGACAGGGTCAGGCCTGGGTGAACACAATGTGACAGGCCATCCCTGCCCCCAGCCACCGCAGAGACAAGCACAGAGCCCTGCTGGCCTCTGCACCCACGAGGCCCAGTGCCCACCATAGTTCTCAATCTCCTCCGGCATATCGTAATTGATGACGTGCTGGATGGCTGGGAAGTCCAGGCCCTTAGAAGCAACATCAGTGGCAACCAGGACATCCTTCTTCCCATCCCGGAAGGCCTCAATGGCTTTTGTCCGTTCCTCCTGATCTGCAAAGGCCCAGCAGAGAAGATCAGCAAGGGCACAGCTCGCAGTCCTACCTCTTGCGACAACCACCATGGCCTCAGAGCCACTCAACAGGGCTCCCCCACCGAGGGGACCTACACAGCCTAACCCCATATAAAGGAGCAGAGGAACCTCTAGGTCCCATAGGGAACCGCACAGTGTTTATGACTACAACATAGAACGTGGCGTTCACTCCTGACGCTGCCACAGCCCTTCTGCACACCACCACAAACTGCTGCGTGCTGGGACCTCCTGTGGCCACCTACAACCCTGGCAGGGGCAGGCAGGGCCACACCATGGTCCAGACCTCCCCGACACCCTCACTGACCTTTCCCTCCATGGATGGCCACAGCTTCCACACCCTTGAGCAGCAGGTACTCATGGATCGCATCAACATCTGCCTTCTTCTCTGCAAAGATCAGCACCTGTGGCAGCACAGACATCATGGAAAAGCCGCCTTTCTGCAGGCAGGCACCAGCACAACCCCCCACTCCCTCTTGCCGAGCAGAGCACACAACAGCTCTGGGCCCAGGACCTGCTTGCGCGTGGAGCACGGCTCGCTCGCACACCTAACCTGCACACGGCAGAGCCCCACACTATCACAGTCATGGCCCCAGTGACAGCTCCACCCACGCCCTGGGGCTGTGGTGTGCCCACGCTGCCCCCAGCCCTGCTGCCAGAGCAGTCGGAACGCACTACTCACGGGTGGCGGGGTCTTCTGCAGGCACTCGAGGAGGTATACCATCTTGGCCTCCTCTTTCACATACTCCACCTCCTAGGAACAAGCACAGGTATAGGTCAGGCAGGCAGCAGAGAAACTGCCATTGCTCCGTATCCCTTATCGTGTTGGGCAGGAGGGCCACAAACCCCAGCTCCCTAACAAGGAATGCACCAAGTGTCCTCATGAACAGGGCTGGCCTCCCACACAGGCTTTGGGGAGCACCCAACTACCTCACCTGCACAACGTCCAGGCTGGCAGCACCCGCTCGCCCAACATTAATGGTGATGGGCTTCACCAGGGCGCTCTTGGCAAAGTTCTGGATCTTCTTGGGCATTGTGGCACTGAAGAGGAGGGTCTGCCGCTGGCCCTGCACAGGGAAAACAGTGTGGGCAAGGATTTAGCACTCACCCAAACAGGCGGACGCAGGGATTGAGCTTCAGGGTGCCTGTATCACGCCAGCTCAGTACCTTGAAGTAGGAGAAGATGGTACGGATGTCCCCCTCAAAGCCCATATCAATCATCCTGTCAGCTTCATCCAAGGCCAAGTAACGACAGATGTCCAGGCTCACCATCTTCTTCTGCAGCAGGTCCATCAGGCGGCCAGGGGTTGCCACCATCATGTGTACACCACTGTGGGACAAGAGAAGGCCACAGTCAGGCACTCGGATTCCTCCCTCATGCAGCGACACACAGGGAAGGTAACATCCGCTTGGCACGTCACCTTCACCCCCACACTTTCCTGAAGCCATCCAGCCATGGTGCCACCCCTTAGTTCCCTGTCAGAAAACAGAGTACAGCTCCAGCCCCACAACCCTCACCCAGGTCTTACTGTTTGATTGTCTCCATCTGCTCCTTGACAGACATGCCCCCGATACAGAGGGCGCAGCGCAGCGGGGGCAGGCTGTCCTCCTGCAGCAGGCGACAGTAGTACTCAATGATGCCGTGGGTCTGCCGGGCCAGCTCCCGCTGCAGAGACAAAACTCACTCGTTCCTACGCCTCTGTGCAGGAAGGATCTGGGATTGCCACCAAATATCAATCAAAGCTTCCTCCCACGTGTCAGCGTGGCCCCGACACTCACCGAGGGACAGATGATGAGTCCGTAGGGTCCCTCTCGCTTGGAAAACGGCAGCCTCTTCTCCTGCTCCAGGCAGAACATGATCACCGGAAGGGTGAACACCAAGGTCTTCCCAGAGCCAGTGAATGCAATGCCGATCATGTCCCTTCCCGAGAGGCTGGCACAGAAATGAGGCCAAAGGTGAGGAGCAGCATCACAGAACAGCTCAGACCTCCAGGGCCGAGCCAGGTGGCAGGGCGCATCTACCACCAGGGAAGAGCATCTGGCCCAACACTGGGTGGGCTGTAGGGAGCAACCACTCCCTGCTCTGGGATGGGGACAGAGCACTCACATCGTGGGGATGCCCTGGATCTGTATGGGTGTTGGCTGCTGGATTCCTTTTTTCTTCAGGCCCCTCAGGATCGCTATCAGAGAACAAGGGGGACACACATTCAGGACCTGAAGTCTTCTCCCTCTTTCTCTCCTCCTCATGTACCAGCAGCAGCTCTTTCACCAGTGGCAATCACCCCTTGGGCCAGCAGCTAGGTGACACAGCCACCGCTGGGAATTTAAGCTGCGACCCTGCTAACACTAAGCATTAAAGCATCAACTGCTTCACTCGCTGATGTATGTTTCCCAAAAAACACCGCTGTCCCCGCCCTGCCAGGCTCCTCTCCCAGCCCACCTGCTGGGAACTTCATCTCCTTGAAGCTCTTGATGGGGGGCGGGATGCCTTCCCCCTCCACCAGAATGTGGTACTTCTTGCGCACACGATCGTGCCGTGCCTCTGACATGCCCAGGATGTAACGGGGCGCTCTCCAGCTGCGAAGGCAACAGAGAAAGGTCGTGGTGCAGAATGAGGCTGGGGCTCCAAAGGCAGCAGCCCCCACACAGATGCAGGGGAGCTCCAACATCCCACCAGGGAAAACAGGCAACTCCGAGGGGCTTCATGGTGCGAGTACAGGAGAGATCCACACCAGTTCCATACGTTAAACCTTTCCCCAAAGCCTCGGTAGGAAGTCCCAAGCTAACAGCTGAGAAGTCTATGGATGGTGGATGAAAGATGCCAAAATCTTTTGGACACATCTCTGTCATGTCTCCGACACTGCCTCGAGCACTGCTGGCTCTGTAGGCTCACCCAGTCTCTTTCTCTAGCTTAGTCACCTCCAAGATCTGAACACCCACCTCAATTCTTCAAGTTTAACATAAACGTACTCT